CCCCCCTCCCGCGCTGCTTCGGGACCAGAGTGAGTCCACTTCCTGCCACGACGGGGCCGCGCTTGCCTCCACCGCAATCAAAAGCCGAGGGCTCGCACATCTCCGTGTGAGGAAAGATAAAAAAGGAAAATCCTCGAGGAAGCTCCCTGGCCCCACGGCGCAGACCATTCCAGGAACCGCCCGCGTTCAAAGGCCGCGTGCGCCGGTGTCCGCGGCCTTCCCGCGCCCCTCACATCCTCCTGTCTTTGTGTTTCATGTCGGAACTGCGGAGATTCTGGGGACGGATGAGCACTTTCTTCCGAGGTGAGATCAAAGGGGCTGCGCGAGCCTGCTCGTCTGTTTCTGACAAAGCGAACTTCCCCACGTCTGTTCTGGCCGCCCGCCTGGCAGGGAGGCCGTCGGGAGGCCACGGGAGCGGCCTCGACTTTCCGGGCCCGTCCCAGCTCCGCCCTGAAGAGGCCCACGGCCCGCGGGGCTGCGTGCCCGAGACGAGCCCACAGAACAGGCAGGGGGCTTTCACACCCACCGAGCGGCACACCCGTTACCTCGAGATGGGGGCGTTCACGGAGGGAGCGAGAGCTTAGGGTCCCGCCAGGTACCGGCCGGGGGCAGGGGGGCTGCTTGCGAAAGTCTTGTCAAGTCTTTCCTCGGCCGACACGTCCAGATCCTAGCTGAAGAATGTTCGCGGCGAACACACCCGTGCAAACGGCACTCCGCCCCGCTTTCAGACCGTCTCCGGTCCCCTGGAAGCCGTCCCCGTGACCCTGCCTGTTTGCTGAGGGTTTCGGGGAAACACTCGCTGGTTTATGACCTCAGGGCCATGGGACTGTAATAAAAACCACTGCGGTTTGTTAATCTAGGGAGTGTGGGGTTCATCTCCAGGGTGAGCTGCAGAGGCCCTAGGAAGGAGTGTGGGGGCCCGTGCGCGTGTGTTTGCACGTGGGCCTGTGTGTCTGTATGTGCACGTGAGTGTGTTTGCACATGTGCGTGCACACGCATGAGTGCGTGTTTGTGCCCGTGTGTGCGTGTGCATCTGTGTGTGTTCAGGGAAGACCAAGAGTGCTGTCCCTCGCTCTGTTTTCACGCTGGGGACACTCGGGCATCATAGAAGGCCGCTTGCCTTTTCACTCACAAGCAAGCCCTCGCGTCCAGACCAGCGGTAACCGCGGCCGCCCTGGCTGTGTCA